TGTACAACCTCTGTTTGGATCTGGTATGCTTGAACCTTTTAAAGGATTATTAACGTCATAAAAATACAGTGCATAAATGAGAGAATTATGTAACACAAGCGGTGACTGTTTTATAAGCGGCAAACTTGTTGAATTGCAAATAATTGCATCAGAAGAAGTGATCAGAAAACAGGAGATTTCTTCTTACCTGTTCAGAATATAAGTCAAATATGAAACCTTTCACCTGACATAGCAGGCTTCCTTATGTGGTGGGAACTGACCCAGCTGTATTCACAATATCTGAGCAGGTCCTGGAACAAATAACTTGGGTCTTTCAGTCATGTCCATGCCAACACAGTCAACCACGTCAAGTTTATAGACGTTTACATTCACATACTTGCCACATACTTTACAACCTGGAAGGCTGAAGTTCAGCTTACATATCAAAATTACTGAAGCTGGATATTTATTTGACATGTAGATGTCTAATCACTAGTGTGTGGAAACAAGGTTTGATGTGATTGCCTAAACACAAGTATTAGTGTCATTTGACTCGCCACTGCCACTCCAGCAAAGAGGTCCTTTGTCACATCTGCCTTTCCTGGGTACCCCAGGGCAAGTACTTGTACATAACTACGTCTGGGCAAGCAGGTATGGTTTGTTCATTACATCAGTGGAACTTGTGTTGACCACACCATGATGTCTACTTAAGGGTGAGCTGAATGTCAATCTTGGCTGCATTTTTTCAGGTCTTGATTCTGTAATCAGTACCTCTGGCTTTGTAAGGAGGGGAGCTAGTATGTCTGTTGCTATGAAAATCAGAAAAGTTGGACAAACCTTTTGCTAATTAAGATGTTGCAAGTGGGAGCTTGACAGATGAGAACAGATCTCTATCCTCTCTTACTTGGTAATAAATTAGCATCCACGATAGCTAGCAGAGCACTTCTTACCTTAGGTACTGATATGAAATCAGCTGGTGCTAGAACTGGCATATTCATTTCAGTGTCATGAGTTGGTAGCTTAACTTTAGTTGGTCTGGCCAGCAAAAAAAAAAAAAAGGCAATTTGATAATGGAGATTTTATTACTTAGATATTTTATAGCTAGAATGATGTTGTTAGTTTGATTTTCCTTTATGTATTTGAAAGGATAGAATGAATATCAACAATTGAGGTGTTCTATACTGACGAGCAGAATTCACACTCTGGGCTGTAATTTAAGACATTAAACATAAAGGTGCTGATATAGCTTAACTGGATCATTGTGTGATAGTAAGACATGTAGTAAAATAGTAAGACATTTGTGTATGTTGTACAGCATGGACTAGTCACTCAGAACAGTAAGGATATGTACCCATAGTACAGCCTTTGAAATCCTCTCCCTGCAGTAAATACAGAAACCCTTCAGGTGAATTAATAGTAAAGGATGTTATGACTCATTTTGGAGAAACTATTATATTCAGTGCCAGGTAGAAGCCGAGGACTTGAGTAATGAGTTCTCAAATATGTCAAATGTTCAAGAATACCTACTTTTTATTGTTGAAAGGAAACATGCAAGTTAAAATCACTTCTTATAGTTGCTGGACAGCTTGATCTCTCATGTAAATATGGTATAAGTAGTCACTAACAGCAGAATTATATAATCATGATATCTGTATTGTAAACTAAATCTATTTTATTAATTCAAACATTTTTAAAGATCTAGGAAGAAAAGTCTAACCAAAGTCAGTAAAAGAGAGTTTTGAAATGAAGGAAGTAGTTGACTGGAGAAAGTTGAATGTCTAGCCAGAGGGAGATAATCTTAAGTCTGGAGTATAGAAGCCGTGGTACTTCGAGGAGAGTACACAGTTGGGTCAGTTTAGTCATCTGTTTGACACATTGTTTCCTTTTAATCTCACATGCTTCCTGTCTTGGAGTTTTTTCTGCTCCTCAGGGAAACCTGAGACTGTCTTCGGAGCAGATCTTATAATGAACTCCTAGCACGCTTTGGCTGCTCAGCAGCAGAAAGGGACCTTACAGCTGCTTTAAGATTTTCAAACACAATGAGAAACCTGAATAAGAGGGAAGAAGTCCGTTCTACTGGACACTGTGAAGGGCCAGGGGACAATTTACGTCAGAAGTCCTGGTTTAAGTGCTTTCCTTTTGGAGGCTCTTAATAAATACCACCTACAGGAGGCCAGCAATTTAACATGTCAGCATCATTAAGCTACTTGGTAGTTCCCAGGATAAGAAGACGAGAGTGGTATAAAGTTATCCTTGTGTCCAGTCTTACCAGGTGTTGTGTGCATGGCTTTAGGATACCTGGCAAGACCCTCATCTCTGCTCTGCAGTACTGTGATGTTGAATATCACTGTTACTATTAAAAATGTATCTCTGCCAATCAGTTTTTCCCATGAAAGTGAACAAGAAATCCTTGACTTAGTATTTAAACAGCACGGATTTATTGACATTATAACATTTTACAAATTACATTTGTCTCCCTCAAATTTACAATATTTACATGGTGGCTGTTTAGAATTTTTTATTTAGAGACCATTTAGGCTTCTATGTGTATACTCAGTAAAAATGCACTCAGTAGAAACAGGATGTGCAAATGCCAACAAGATGATAACAAACAGAACATATCGTGGAACTGTTGTGCATCATTTCTAAGCTTTACACTGTATTTGCAACTCCTAATTAAGGGTCATTTCCAATTAAAACTATTCTATGACTTGCTCAGGGGTCAGAAAGAAAATTCTTTTTCTTGCAGAATACTGTTAATGGGGACATGAAGCTGCCAAATTAAGTCATTTTTCAGAGCATCCTTTTTCCATAATTTTGCAGAGACGGTCAGGTTGAATAAATGAAGGAGGGTGCCCAAAGTATTTGAAGTTCTTGGTGCCATGGCCTGTTGTAATTGCTGCTGAGAAACTGTTCATCACTCTATTCCCAAAAAGTTGCCTGGAAATTGGCTGATATTCCTATTGTTAGGACAGAAGCCATATTAAAGAAGTGTAGGGTGTGATCTGCAGTGCTTGTCCATAGGCATAGTTTTTAGAGCCATCGAAAAATGAGCAAAACTGGGGAGTATAATTCTGCCATTCTAGCAGAAAATTTAAATCAGTTCTGAAGAACTGCTCTTCATGTGAAATTATGTTAATTATAAAAAAAATATTTTTAGAATTGTATCTGAAAACAATTTTAGCAACATTGTTCAAGAAACCTTGGACTACTTATTGTATTTTACAAACACAGGGTTCATGTAGAAAAACAGGATCTTTTGGGGGTGTCTGAGTGCCAGCATTTGTCAACTCTGGGTAGCTACACTTGATTTAGTCACTGTGGAGCCTCTTCATTGTCCATAGATATATATCCAAGGAAGTCCATGTTGGCTGCTTACATAGATACAAAATGTGTTTCCTGGAATCTCCTGCGAAGAGACCCTACATTGCTTTAGATGTTTATATTTGCAGCATAGACATCTAATGCTAGATGAAATAGAGCCTATGGTTTATGCCCACAGAGTCCCTGGGAATGCAGTGAAGCTCTGCAAGTATAGAGAAGAGCCTATAAAAGCAATAACGTAATATTTTGTTTTACCATTTTAACCTGCCAGGGACACCAGTTTAAAAAAAAATAGCTGTATTTGTCTGGGATTTTAACTGAGGAACTTTCTTAAGGTCATTCTAATGGCACTGGAAACTTCATTAAATGCATATTTTCCTTCTTTATCTCTGCAGTAAATGTATATTATGTAAGGCAACCAAAACATTAAAATGTCAGGACTGTTGTCAAAAAAGCCATCACAGCTTACTTCTCCAATTAACAAAACAGATTTGTTTCCTATGATACCTCCTATACCACTTTAGGTCCTAACAATCATGCCAGTTGCTATGAATACACTTAAGATATGTGGCAGTTACATTTCCCTTGTTTTTCACCTTTAACCATATCTATGATAGTGCAGTTGCAAGATTGTTCATTTCATTTCACATTTCATTTAATCTTTTCCATATCTGTATAGTATTTGCTAAGTGAATGTCCAGCTAATTTCATCATGAATCGTGATTGCTAAAGTTCTTTACTTGGCCTTTTAAATGCTATAAAAATACAGTGATTTGCTCTTCCTTTTAGTCTCTTAGTTTATTTTAAAGTATTATTTCCCTGATACTTTTTACAAACATTGTTCAAGAAGGTGAGCAATATAACCATCTGCAGTAAACACTGAAATTTTGTCTGTTATACATAGCACATTCTACCACTGGTATTAAAAAGTTTAATTCTGTAACATTGTAAAAAACCTACAGTTTTAATATTTTATATAGCTTGAATGGAAAATAATGGCAGTCTAATGACTTCTTTGTAGGCATAACTCAGGAAGCAGCTTAATTTTGAGAATGTTGAGCATTATTTTTCTTGATGTCATTCAGAATAGGATTTAATGTAATATGTAGCTGGTAAATTTTCATATAACTGTCAGTGGACTGTGCCCTTCAGCCTTTTTTCAGCTTTTCCTCTTGAATTTTAGCAAATAACTTTACTAAAGAAAGAAAAGGTTGTTTGGGTCACAAATTATTTAAACATATAAATTAGGAAGTTAATGAGACTTAAACATGTCTTAAAATTAAACTCATGTATAAATGCATTCCAAAGTACACTAGAGTCCTCAGAAGGACTGAGAAGGATTCAGAGATAATCCATTCTTTTAAACTGTGGCTTATTCTTCCCACTTTGGTTGTGTTTATGCAAGCTGATGAATATGATTCTTTCTTCTGACCTCATTGACATGGGATAGTCATCTGAAATTCTACCTGCTTGTGTATAAGTTACTGAAGGTGAATTTTCTACTAAGATAAATTGGCTTGAGATGTTGCCTTGCAAAAATTTTGGACTAAAGATACAACATTCTTATCATGTACTGTAGAACAGAGTGACTGTAATGCTAATTATTTAGCCTTCAGAGCTATTTAATGAAAAATTACATCATTTCACAATTTCACATATTGGTATGTGGTTTTTGCATATGTATTTTTTCTGTGCAGGTCAACTTCTATGTAAGGGTGAAGGCAATTTATACTCTTGGACACAGTGTATCTCTGATTGCTCTGACAACGGGAAGTATAATTCTTTGCCTTTTCAGGTATGTGTTTTTCATGAATATGCACAATGACAGGACAGTTTTAACTGTTATCTGATTGCTCAGACATTTAGAAGATGCATTGGTTTTACACTTTTATCAAAGCTGACAGTAATGTCATGCAAACTTGATTTTCGCAAGCACCAGTCTTACTAAAAAAAACCAAAAGATTTTATAAATTTACAGACATTACAGTGCATGTAATAAAGAGTAGTCATTTAGGAATGGATTTTATAACACATTTTCTATTTGATTATTAAAATCAACACCTTGAATTGCTCTTGAAAATTAGCAGTATGCTGGTCTCAACACTGGACAAGTGGGCAGCCACTTGCAGAAGCTTTTAAGTGGTCTCCATAGGTACTATAATCAAAGGTAATCAATCCCTCCAAGTGGAGAGATCAGCATTGCTGGATTTGTATATGTATGCTTCAAATTATACTTCATTTAATCCTGAATATCTGCAGTATTTTTAAAGAAAGAAAACATAGAATAATGTGGAGTTTATTGTAGATACTGTGCTCCTGACAAGGAAGTGCAAATTCTTTTTCAAGTATTATGATTTGACTTCTGTAGTCCATTCTATATTATGTGCTGTCTGGCAGTAGAGATACAGCCTCAGGGCTTTGCAGCTTTTACAGTGTCACCTATAAGCAGATGAAAGGCAGAACTGTTGGGTGGGAAAAGGGGAGCTGTTTCTGAAGGTTTTCATGCAATTGCAATATTCTGTTCTGCGTTTCTTTCAAAGAACTGGACTTGATTTTAATCTTTACAGAAACATTATGTGTTCCAATTATTAATACCTGTAAAAGACACATTTGGAAGCATTGTAAATGGAAATAATTTTATATCTGGCTAACCTTTTAGTCTCAAAACAAAGACATATAACATAAATACATTGCCAGACTAAGCTGTTGTCATTTTTCAAATTACTATAGTTCCACTACCCACATAATAGTCTATGTACTTATTATAATTAGAGCTGTTTTCTGACTTACCACAAGATTTCCTGTTGACGGTTGCACTTTGCCAGGCACATTCTTGCTTCTGCAAACTTAATTTATAAAGAGTAAAGCTAAAAATTTTGATTTCGTCAAAAGAAGTTTCTTTACCCATCTTAGACTGCAAGTTTCTATTTCTTCATTTTTAATTTCTTAAGTTTTAATATATCATAAAGTTTCGGAAAAGTGGCTATCAAAATGTTTGAAAATAAATACTAGTTTTCAGATATTGTAGAAAATCTTCATCTGAAGTTCACCAACTCAACATGAAAATAAATTGTAGAACAGCACGTTTCCACATAACACTGACATTCTAGAACATATCAGAGATCTTACCATACTTCCTTTGGTGTTACTCCTGTATAATAAAACCTCCAAAAAGAGTCAAATTATCTGATGTTTTCCTTACCAAGGAGAAAAATATGAATCTCTATAATTTCTGTAGCACGTGCTGTCATATGCATCAACTGTCTATGTACGTTCTCCACATGGTGGTTTTGCATCATGAGGTAGTCATATCAAAAGGAGTAAGCATGACAGCTTTTGTTTCATTGCTAAATAGTATTTCTTTGTCATTTCAAATCATCATACATAAAAACAGTTTCTTGCCTACTACCTCCACAGGGTTGGTTTAGCAGCCTGGTATACACACCCAACATTTATTATTTCAGTTACTGAATGGAATGGAGAACTAATCTAAATTAGCCAAGAAAAATATTTTCCTCCCATTTGCAGCTTGCATGTATCTCTGATGGTATTCTGCTGGCTACTTGTCCAATATAGAATGATATTAAATGGCAGACCAACAGCCAAACTCCTCCCTCCACTACCATATCATACACCAGAGGTCCAAAGTGCCAGACAACCAGAGGGAGGAACATGTCAATGCACTCACCCACCACAGGGGACATGACAAAGGGAGCAAGCCAGCCAAGACATTGGAGATGGCAGCAGCCAGGCTATGAGCAGAGTTATACAGGAAGGACTCCCAGACAGCTTCCTGTTCCAGCCCTGCCATCCTGGGAACCCCACTTGCCTTGAAGAGTCAGGAAGCCCTTCCAATAGCCAGAATCCCCACACAACCACTGAACATTCAGACAAACCTCTCAACCCCCCTGCAAGCAGTAAGCCCTTCTAGAGGTGGCTTCTTGCCCTGCCTCCAAGTTGATGTGGAAGGTGGAGGCACCTGATGGTGATCTCCTCATCAGTTCCCATCCAAGGCTGGCCAGACCCTGGGTGAAAACCAGTCAGGAGGGTCTTTCTTGCCTGGTTGTGGACATCATCCATATGCCAACCCTGATGAAGGGCTGGGGGTTAAGCCCCAGCGCTTCAGACAGGAGCATGCAATGTTCCATAGGAAGGTACAGTGCGGTCCAGCGTATCGGTGGTACTTCAGTTTTTCTCGGATCCTGTTTCAGCAAAGGATATTCATAGCTAGAGAAATCACTGGATTTTTGACAACTGCTTTAAGTTCAGCCTGGTGTTATGCCCTTTGCCAAACTGGGGACTAGCAAGATGGATCTGTTCATTTACTTCCCTACGCTCACTGTAACTGTTCTTGTTTTAGTAGTTTCAGAATGGATTATTTAGTGTTCTTTAGTAAAAAAAATCGGAACATGAAGACTACTTGGATGCTGCCATGGCACTCCAACATAACATCCTGTTGTATCTTCATTCTTTCAGTACTCGTGCTTGCTACAATGCCCTGGCTTCTCGCTTATTTCCAGGTGCAGTTCAAGGTGCTGGTTTTGACAAAAAAAAAAACCTCTTAGCAGTCTGATTTCTGGGCATTTGATATTAAACAATTCTGTTAAATGGGAAGATCTTGAAGCACTCAATTTATAACTTGCTTCCCCTGAATACCCATCCATTTGGAATATTTAATTTGTCATTTGTTTGCCAGACTTTCACATGGCTGCTGGTCTAAAGAAGAGAAGTTCTACATCTCACTGGATAGAAAAGATGGGCAGTCTAATGTTTTGAATGTGTTGTTATTTGTTCCTGCATACACTCACATCATAGGATGAAAAGCCATTACATAGGAAAATGCAGGAGTTAAATAAGAAATTAAACCAGAAAATAATAGATGAGAGCCTGCCTGAAATACATCCAGGATAATCAAAGTTTTATTTGCAAGAAACACACTGGCACCAGTGCACAAACAGAAGTATAGAATAATCTATGCTTATTATCAGTTTATGTTAAAGTGTGGGAGAAATACCACTGGGATCTTTTGGTCTGTGATGCTGAAAAGAAGTAAAATATATTCTGTTGGTGTATTTTGGACAGCCTATGATGATGATGAGGATGAGAATGATAAAACCAAACAGGAAGGCAACACAGAGTATGACAGAGGAGAAAAGGGTAGGCTCTTACTCAAGGTTCATATTACTAAGAAATGACTGTAGGGTAATAGAAGTCTGTTCAAGAGCTTTCTCAAAATCTAAAATGCCTGTTTTTAAATCTCTTCTTAGAAAACTTCATTGTACTCGGAACTACATCCATCTGAACCTGTTCCTCTCTTTCATTCTAAGAGCAATCTCTGTTTTAGTCAAGGATGATATTCTCTATTCCAGCTCCAACACAGCTCACTGTCCAGAGGATCAAACCTCATGGGTAATAAAACATTTGCTACCTGGTATAATACTGTTGTATCACTACATTCTCCTCCCTGATCCTTGTAAATATTCAGGAATACCAAGCTGTCAGTGTAGACAGTTCTCTAGAGAATATAATGACTAGCAAAATGGTCTGTTAGAAGCAGCCAGACAAAGAAGGCTGCAGCACAAATAAGAGAAGTTAATGTTGTTTTGCATGCCCATGAAGGGACATATCATCTCCCAGAACAAATAATGACCAGCTGTAACTCAGAATAAATATGGCCACTGCATTAATCACCTGGGAGAGTTTAAGACGAGCAGAAGTGCCATCAATTGAGAAGAGTTAAAGGCAGCTCATCTTGAAAGGTTCCAGCAGCTTTATCGGGGGGTACGGGAATTGGACAGGTATCAAGGGAGGGAGAGGAATGAGTCAGGGAACTAAGTATTTGCAGGAGTTGTCTTTATTAACCCCTCTGTACTTTCTGGCTGTGACAGAAGTGTTGTCATCTGCATTCTTGACTCGTTTGTTTATTGCATTTTAATGCAGAGTGGTTAAAAAAAATCTCATCTCACTGTTAGAAGACTGATCACTATATGATATTCTACATTCTCTAACTCCGTTGTTTCAGTCAAAAGTGCTGCAGAAGTCTGACAGTATTGCTGAATATCTTCTGAATTTACTACAATTTAAGCTTGTGTGAAGAAAATTAAAGGAAGATATTTTTATACTGATGAAGCCATATTATCCCAAAACATAAAGTACTTTGCAATGACTACCAAGCCATATGTATGAATTCATAATCTGGGCTATTTCTAATGAAGACAAATAGGCTCAGATTTAGTAGAGCCAAAGCAGCCAAAGTAGTAGGCAGGCAGATTGGCAGAGGTAATCAGAAATTGCTAGGTCCTTGAAAGATTAGTCAATGGACTCTTAAGATATTTCTTGATTTCTGCAATTTCTTTTATTCTCTAGTTAGAAGAATAACTAAGCTTCCTATCTTGGTATTTGAATATGTCCAGTTTTGTGGACCGTTGAGTAATTTCTGTTGCCTTGTATGTGGGATGATCTAACACCAACTTGGCAAGGCTGCTTTCTCTTGCATTGGCTGGATGAGACCTTTCTTAGGTAACAGCCTGTGGGATTTGCCCTTTTTGTAAGATGCGTGTGATGTTCCACGGTTCTGCTGCACACACAGGTATTTAAAAGCACACAATTCAAATTGCAATGGAACTAGGTGTTGGGTCCCAATGACACAGCCATAATTTTGGCTGACTCTTCACTGACAGATACCATCAGTGTTCAGCATCCGGAAGTGCACCTGATGCAGGATTAGCTGCAGAAGGAAGGGAAAATATTTTGATAAGGTGTTCTGGTGTGTAAATCAAAAATATAATGTAAGGTAGTATTGGAATTTAAAAATATTAGAAAATTTTTAGAATTTGACTGCTAGTCTGGTTGTAAGTAGACATATAAAAGCAAATTGCAGCTTGCGTTTTGAAATGTTTAATTTTCTCCGTGTTAAATTTTCTGGCCCATTACTGGTCTGCACTGGATATCCCTTCAGTGGCTACAAAGTCCAGAGGTAAGACTAGTCCTACCAAGTGAGATGACTAAACTTAAGCATTTTCTCTTGGGCTTCTGTCTTTCCCCCTGGATAGGTTATCTCAATCTGCTTTCAGACTTTCTGTGGACATGACTGTTTCTCTTCATGAGTTGTATAAAGAGCCAGTTGGCTATTGGTTGGCTAGTTTCAGCAGAAACGTTGCTTGTAGGCAGCTAAAATCAAGTGAAATTAAGTCAAGCCTTTGGGCTCTTTTTTGTCTATATAGGCATGTACACAGGCATAAATATAGGCATGTATGTTACTTGGGAGGCATCTGAGACACCACAAGGGGCTGATGGTTACAAAAAAGTATCTCTGGGAGGTCTGTGCCCTTCTGGTTTAGCAGCTAGTGACTGATGTCCCTGAGGGGATCCCACTTCATAATAGACACCTATGTTTAGAGAGAGGAATCAATCATTAAACGAGTAAGTTACTTACTTAGGTATTTAGTGTACTTGGAATTTTAGCAGAAACAGTGGAGGTATGAAGGATGTTTAAAATGGGGGAATAAAGCATGCAGGAGCTGGAAGTTTTATTTAGTCCATTTTGTTTAGTCTGTTATAATCACCATGTTATCACAATTCTCAGCTCAGTCTCAACAGAAACATTTTTATGTTCAATTCTTGAATCCCAGATTCCTGC